GAACTTGTCCTCGTCGTACTCCTGCGCCACCTTTGCCCAGCGAATGTGGGCGCCGGGGCCCGGGCCCGTGCCCATGCGGGGTTCGTTGAAATAGGGCCGTTCGTTGAGCACGAGACCCTGGATCGACACCAGGACCTCGAGGATTGTCGACTGAGACGGATCCCACTTCTCCCGCTTCTTGCCGTGCCAGGTGTTGAGCAGGCTCAGGCAGACGAAACCGCTATCGTAGAGATTCGGGTTGACCCGGTTCCGGAAAGAGTGGTAATAGACCTGGGGAGGGCGGGTCGGGTAATTTGACGGGAAAGCGATGTCGAATAAGAAACGCGCATCGTGGTAGGGAGTGCCAGTGGCGCCGATGATAATGGCCCGGAGGAGGTCGATGCCGGTTTAGTAGACGCGCACGTAGATGGAGTCCGGGAGGTGCTTCTCGAGAATCTTCCACTCCCGCATTATTTTCTGGTGAGCCTCGTTACCGAAGCAAACTCCGCCGCCGCTTTTTGAGACGACGTTGAAATGGTGGTCTGAGGGGTCTGAGAGGACGTCGAATTGCTTGAACCCGTTGGGCTCTCCTCCGGCGCCCGCCATTGTTTTCTTTCGAGGGCTTTTTGGTTATTGGACGGACTGTGGGACTGTGTAAATATTGGCTTGTTATTGTTAAATACATCTATATACTTAATACATTTTACATTTACATTTTCAATTAAAAATTATCTTAAAACACTTCACATAGTTCGTGATAATATCCTCGCACCCCATAATCTTAACATACATCTTATATTTTTTTACATCCACTTCACATTTTCTACCTATGCTGTACACATTTTCTTTGAGTTCTTCAAGCAATCCTACACTGACGACAATTTCAAAATACTTAGACAAGCATTAGCCTCTCCAGCGAATGCTCTGTTACTGAGTGTCTCAGAGACAAGCATTAGCCTCTCCAGTGAATGCTCTGAGTTACTGAGTGTCTCAGAACTCAATACAGAAGTTATACATATTTTAACAATCATTATGCAACTAAATTTTGCAACATGAATTAGTTAGTAGTTAGTAATTGACAAGCTCAAAACTCTCTCTGAGCAACTGAGATGATCTCAGAGCCAAGGAAGACCATTTCACTTAGCTAGTAGTTAGGACCTATTGCAATTCCATACATTTCCAAAGTGTGGTTTCCAAAATTTAGACATGTTTCATTTCTGTGGTCTTAAAATAATGGCCATCTCAGAGCCAAGGAAGACCATTTCAAAGTCAAGTAATGACGATCCAACCAGGAGATGGACCATCGTAAAATGGCGACAAGAGAAGGGAACAGAGAACTATCACTTACAACATTAATAACACAGGTATTTTGTAGGCTTAAATAAATATCTATGTCGTTGAAATCACTAAAATAATGAAATATGAAGTCTTATTTCATGTGAAGCTTCTGAAACGTCGATCTTGTGTTTCAATCAACGTGTTTGTAGATTTTTTTAAACTTATAAGGTCGAAATTGTCATTGCATAATAGGGTACATAAGTTATTTAATTAAATTTTAATGTGGGATATATTCAACATTACATGGGGTGCTAATAAAAAAAACCTAAATATTTATTTGTGGAGAGTATTAGAGTACATATAGATTTACAATAAATTAATCGCTACTTACAGCTGAAAATTACATTCTTATAATTTGGATAATTGTCAAGAAGATTTAAATTAATTAATTTACAGTAACGTCTTCCCAAAATAAACGAGTTTGATCGAACAAGTTTGAAAGAACGACAGTTGAAAATTACATTTTTATATTTCTTATATGGAAAAAGAGTTTGAGAGAATTCTCTAGAATCCCAACAAAGAAAAAGTTCTAAACCCCTAAACAGAGTCACACCCCCAATAAAATTCCAACCCTTGACTCCAAACACCACACGAAAACAGAATTCATACATAAGATTTAGATATAGATAATAGAGTCGATTTTTATCTGAAGTTTAATTTTAGCTAGGCCTGGATAGGTACATAAATTTTAGTGGTGATTTTAAATTAGTCCTAACATTTTAAATATCTTCATAAAGTTTTTTAAAAAATAAACATTTTTTAGGTTTACTAACGTTAAGTAAGGACATTGACAAATATTAAAGCGTGTTTTAACTTTCAAATCATCTATAGAGTTTTGAATCTTCAAATTGATGCATTTTAGCTAAAGCAAATTTACAATTTCTAAATGGGTCAATTTAGGGGATTAGAGCTCCAAAAAAGACGATAAGTGAAAATCATTCATTATCCACTTCATCATTTAATGTTAGTAACATCATCATTTAATGTTGATAAAATCCTCATTTAATGCCGGTGACCTAATAAATGTCAATTTTTCAAAATATTAAGTAGTTATTTGAATTATTTTAAAAAATTAAAACTAATTTAGAATCACTCCAAAAAATTAGGTGGTTATCCGTATTTAACCCTTGATCGTTTTTCCTTTCGTATTTGATAAAATAGAAAATTTGATTCACACCCACTTCATTAAAGCCAACTTTAGGTAAAACCCAAAAATTCCCTTTTTCAATTTATACCCTTTGATTGTTGTGCCACCTATAACAAATTTCCTTTTACGTGTGGTGTTAATAAATGTTTCTATTTTTCATTCCCAATTTGCTTATAAAGTTAAGAAGAATGCTTAAATCATTTTCAAATAAGTCGTCAAATTTTAAATATAAAATTTGAATCTACCGGTACATTAAATTAAATTATTATTTTATTACACTATTTTTTAAGAGAATTTTTATTATTTATTTTATGTTAAATAATTGATAAAAAGAAATTCATATTAACTCAGCCCCTTCTTTCTGGACTTCTCCTGATCTTTTTTCTCTCTTTTTTGAATTCGAATCGAAGGGACTGCTCATGCGAATCCATCGTTTCATACTTCCCACAAACACTCGAAGGATCAGTAGCTCGTTAGAGCTCGTTTTGTACACTCCCCACAAACACTCAGGTTCACATATTCCGATCCTTTCTCTCTCTCTCCGTTTCGCTTTGTGGTTTCACTCTAATCCATGGCTACTCAAGGTCAAGTCATCACTTGCAAAGCTCCTCTCTCTCTCTCTCTCTCCCTCTCCCTCCCCTCTCTAGATTTCTATATGTATATATGTGTATGTATCTTTCTGTATATGTTTTTTACAGTGAAATGGTTGGTTGTGATTGAGAATATGTTTTGTGGGTAATGATTTTTTGGGTGAAATTGAAATTGGGAATGCGAAGCGGCGGTGGTTGGGAACCCAATAAGCCGTTGGTGATCGAAGACGTGCAGGTGGCTCCGCCGCAGGCCGAAGAAGTTCGGGTCAAGATTCTTTACACCGCTTCTGCCACACCGACGCTTATACCTAGGGCAAGAGATAAAAATAATAAAAATATACTTGAAACTGCTGTCAAATTTGACAGCAATTCCCTTTCTCCCAATTTATGTCATTGTCACGTAGGAATTGACATTTCGGTTAAAGAATATTATTTTTTTACTGACATAATTTATATGGGTATTTTGACATCTCTTTTGGAGATGCTCTTAACTACTCTAGTCTTTTTCTCACTCAATGAGGATCCTCTTCAGATTTTCTTTAGGATTTTGAAAATCCTTCAATAACATTTGTTCATCGTACAGTTTTCATCAAGACACTATTTATATTTAATTTTAAATAAAAATATTTACAATAATTTCTGATCGCACGATATATGATGAACAAATACAATTAAAGGATACTTGGAATCCTCGTAAAAAGATCTTGAAAGAGTCCTCATTCTTTTTCACTGACCTTTTACTGTGCTTTTATAAAACAATAAAAAAACTAGACGAGTCAGTTTTGGAGTCCCGGTTAAGAGTTTGGACTCGCATGTAGGGAGGGTAATTATAATTTGGACGTAGATGATAGAAAATAAAGTATATAACCAACTGAGTTAAACTTATATCGACAAAGCCCATTGTTTGATTGGGAGGATTGTACTTAATGGAACTAGCTAATTGATAAGTTTTTTCTTTTCGTACCAAATTTGACAAGATAAGGTTATTAGGTACAATTTGTTTCGAATGCAATTTATGCTTGGGCTAGTGATTTGAGCTTAGTGACATGCCATGTTCATATTTTTGCATATATTTGACATTGCTTGAAGTATTTGCTCACGTTCTACGTTACTCTTTAGATTTTGAATTGTGCAAGGTCAAGAAATACCACTTCGACATGTAACAAAGTGAGAAAGAGTAAAAATCTAGACTAGAGTTATAATTGATGCAATCAAAACTAATCGAAAGCTTAATTGAAAGATAAGCATGGAAAAGAAAAACAAAGATAAGTATACAAGGAGCAAATTTAGTGATAGCTAGGACTTAGGAGAATTAAGATGTATATAAACTGATATGGTACTTATAGTGGTGCAGCCGGGATTTCTAAATAATAGGGTCACAATATCAATAAGAAAACTTTATTCGGCTATTTCGTCAAGCACCTAGTAGATAGGTGCCAATTCTTGCCAACATATGCATAAAACTTATACTAACCTATGTCGATAATTATTATTATTTGTAGAGGCATGTTCAGGATAGATGCAGGATACTGCGGAGCAATGTTGAAAACTGTCAAAACTTGTCAACTAAAGTATTTCGTCGAGCATATGGTGATCACAATAGAGTCGCACACAAGAAAAGATAAAAGAAAGACAAATTGATAGAAGAAAATAAAAGAAGTAGGAGAATGAGGTTATAATTTAGTTTGTCTTAGCTGTTTATAAGATCAAATACAATACACAAACAAATATACATGAAGTTTTTTAAGTTGTTGAAGTCAAAGACAATCAACAACCCCATACTAACTTTGCCACTAGATACTTGCATTCGAAGACGAGTTTTTTGCCGGCAGAGGAATATGATTTTGAGTTCCTAAAGTTTACTTACTTGTAAAGGTACAAAGTATAAATATATAGATGCCCGTAAATATAATATAAAATAGTTTTGAATTTAGAAAAAAAAAAAAAAGTTTTACGTTTTAAAGGTTTTCTATTTTATAAAAAGTATAGCGATATGGTTTTCACTAATTACGTAAAGAAAAAACAAATCATAACATCGTCTAGCGGTGTTACGTAACCATCGCACCAACAAATAATCCAAATTAAAAAAGAAAACCACTGCTCCTAATCCTAATAAAATTTTAATTACCTTTATTTACCCAAAAATACCCCTATCAACAAATGAAAATCTCGAATCTACCCTCGGAATCAAAGGCCCAAATCCGCAGCGGCAGCGGCAGCAGCAGCAGCCACTCCAGCATTGCGCTTCGATTCACTCCCGCCTTTCTTGCCGATCTTATTTTTAGGTCCCAATCCCAAAACCTTTTTCAATTTCCGAAAAACCCTCCCAACAATACTACCACTGCTCCCCTCCCTTCTCGCAGACGGCGTCGTTTTGGCGGCTTCCACCTTCAGCAGCTCGGGCAAACCCACCAAAGAATCACCGTTCCATTTGAAATCCTTGTACAGTTCGGCGTACAACTTCTCCAACGGCTCCCTGAAACTTCGCCTTACCTTTATAACCGAAACGGCACCGTTTTGGTGATCCTCCTCCTCCTCCTTGTACTCGCCCACCGCTACGAGCCCCTTCGCGTATGCAATGCACGCTCTCAGTATCGCACCCGCTCTATGCCGAAAGTGCTCCGCCACGAACGCCCTGAAATGTTTGGGCGGCCTCCGCAGCAGAATGTGCGTCGTTTTATGAGTCAACAGGAACGCGTTCTCCCCGTAGGCTTGCGCCGTGTTCTCCAACCGACCCCGGCCGAATATTCCCGTGCCCGGTTCGTTGAAATAGGGTTTCTCGTTGAGCACGAGACCCTGGATCGAGACCAGGACCTGGAGGATCGTCGACTGAGACGGGTTCCACTTCTGCCCCTTGCTGCCGGACCACGTGTTGAGCAGGCTCAGGCAGACGTAGCCGGTCGCGTAGAGGTTCGGGTTGACCCGGTTCCCGAAAGAGTGGTAGTAGACCTGGGGCGGGCGGGTCGGGTAATCGTTCGGGAACGCGATGTCGAAGAAGAAGAGCGCGTCGTGGTAGGGCGTGCCGGCAGCGCCGACGATGACGGCCTGGAGGAGGTCGATGCGGGTGTCGTAGACGCGCACATAGATGGAGTCCGGGAGGTGCTTCTCCAGAATCTTCCACTCGTGCATGATCTTCTTGTGGACCTTGCTGCCGCCACTAGTGAAGCAACCTTGGCCGGCGGTATTCTTCGGGAGGTTGGATCTGTAGAAGTGGTGGTCCGAGGGGTCCGAAACGACGTCGAATCTCTTGAACAGGTCGGGCTGACTTTCTGCAGCGTCGTTTTCCGGCGTCTTTGGGGTCAGAGAAGGAGCCATCTTCTATGGAGGACTTATTGGTGATGGGGCGGAGTGTGTGAGACTGACGGGGGGACTGCTAATATAATATGATTTGGAGTCTTTGATCCAAACCTTTCATCTCAGGATCGCATTTTCAATATGATTAGCTAACTTATTAGTGTTTTTCGTCCGTTCACGTGGATTAATCTAACAAAGTTAATTATTTTTTAATTTTATACCAAATTTAAGAGGGAGTTTTAACAAAAAGTCCACGTTACTGTTCACTTTAACGAAAAATCACATTTTTATACTAAATAGTCAAACTTCGTACTATTTACTTTACCTTTTATTTTGTCTTTATCGTTAAAACTCAAAGTTTTCAAACCATTTTTATTAGTTTTTCTAATTTAACAAGGTTAGGCTAGGTACAATACTACAATTTATGTTGAATGCAGTTTATACTTGCGCGGATTAAATGATCCGCAATCTTTGTAGCCCGCCTCTTGTGCGGATTAAGGGCGCGGACATTCCGTGTGGACCTTATCTAACGGCTGTGACTGCCTTAGTGTAGTGATGGAAACGGACTTAGAGAAGAAGGGGAAGGGAGCCGGCGGACGTTGGACGGCGAGGAACGAATGACTGGATTTGAGGGACAAGTGGTAGATCAGCAGCACCAAAGTGATGCACAGATGCAATCTCCAATGGCTTCGAGGGAAGACACGGCTTCGTGTGTAATGGCGTTGGAGGCAGCTTTGCTTCCATGCTTGCATGCTCTGTGCTTCAAGCGATTGACCGCTCTCCCCACCCGTCTCATCAGAGTTAGCACCGGAACGAAAGAGATGAGAGGAGACCGAGGCAGGATGGTAGTCCTGAAAAAGATCCTTCTGCCAACTGCTTTGCGGGTGGACGTGGATATATTTTCATGTAATGTAATACTCGATTTAGTTTGGTTCATATTTTAGCAAATGCTTCAAGTAAAGGCACTCCCGCATTAAAAAAATAATTGGAATACCAATAACAGCTCCCGTAAACAATCTGTAAGCGTAACTTGAACGAAGGAAAATATTTTATTACGTGCCCAAATACATTAATTAAACAAGTGTCATGAGGAATGGTGTCTACTTGAAGGGAAAGATGGAAGTCATTCCCACCAATTTGACAGCCCAACTTTCTTACGCTTACCGTGGAAGGGAAGTGGTATGCAAATTCTACAACTTGGAAGAAGGCTTTTTCGAACTCCGACCTGCTATGAACTCTTGCATCTTCTTAAACTGGGCTTTGGTCATTCCCTTGTAATACTCATGACCCCTCTCCTGAAATTAAACAATCAAAACATGTCCATACATTGTCATGAATAAGAACAAACACACGCTAAAACAACATTCGTAGCGTTACATACTAGAACTTGAGTGCAGAATTTGAGCTAAGTCACGCAATCTATCGACCATAATAATTAAATTCCCAACTCCCCGATCATAAGACCTATCACTTACGAGCGCAGACCGACAAATCTAAACCAACATTGTTAGTAAAAGGTATGTTAGTGGTAAAATGGGCACCTTTTCAAGCGTAAGGGCGTCGGCCAGGTCCAGCTTAAGCCCGTCATTGATAACAGCCTTGTACCTCAACACCATGTCATGGTTATTTTTCCCAATGGCCTCACCTACTTCACGAGCTTTCTTCAGCAACTCACTCTCTTCCACAACGTGGTTCACGAACCCCAACTTTTCGCCCACCTCCGCTGTCAACGGCGTCGCCGCCAGCGACACTTCGCGCGCTTTGTTGGGCCCTATGATCCTCGAAAGCTTCTGGGACAAACCCCACGACGGAAATATCCCAAATCTATTTTCAAACCAAACAAGCAGAAACGGTTAGAGATATTGCGTACCAATTCGGACTTCGATTCTAGATCCAAAATCTGAAATGAAAGAAGGGATTGATACGGACCTAGCGTGAGTGTCCATGAATTTAGCTCCTTTCGTCGCGATGATGATATCGCAGGCGAGCGCGATCTCGAACCCGGCGGTGACCGCGAACCCGTTAATTGCTCCGATGATGGGCTTTCGGCACCGTTCCATCTGGGAAACGGGGTCGGACTCCACGTCCTTCACATCGCCTTTGAAAACGTCCTCGGCGGAGGTGAGATCGACGCCGGAACAAAACGCGCGACCGGACCCAGACAGAACGATGACCCGGACCGATTCGTCTTGATCTAGGGCCTTGAAGGCCTGGGCAAGGTCCGTCATCATGGGCCGGGGCAGCGAATTGAGCGACTTGGGACGGTTGATCGTCACGAACGCGATTCCGGTCGGTTCGCGGTTTACAAGTATGAGATTTTCCGGCGACGATTGGTGGCGGGCCATATTGGTAGGTAATACGGCGGCGTTTAGGGAGAAATGGATTTGGTTTTTGGGTTGGATTGGATTGGCGCGGAATCGGTTGAACTCGGATTGGAATGCGTGTGGATGGTGTCGTTTTTGCTTTGGAATGCGTGGAAGAGTTATCGTGACGATTTGTTTTAGTTGACACTGGACGCCACGATGAAACTGACAGTTGAGTGTTGCGCGGGCCCGCCAAATAATGGCCATGGGCTTCACGGGCCTCAACTACAGGCCTGAAGAAATAAATAAATAAATGGGTCCGAATACACATTGAAAGCCCAACCCAATTTCGCTTTTATTTGGTACATTCATTTTTGTGCAAGGCGATTCTAGACGAGAAAAGAACAAGCCGAGAGTGGAGAAGTTGTATTATATCCTCAAAAGTCAAATTATTTTTGTGGAAAGCCATTTATCAGCTTCTCACCTCTCGTGGCAAATTGCTTTTATGACGTGAGATCACTAATGAAGGCATGATGTCTTCTATGTGGACATGGACATCCATATGACCGTGTACAAGATGAAATAGTGACAATGAATCCGTTGCACAAAAGTTTACTATCATCACAGAGAGGAATGACTCGGGAGAATTAATAGATTCTTTGGTTTGCCCATGTGTTGTCGAAGGTGACAGAAATAGTGGCAGTCACTGGGTCATGTGGTAAAGAGAGTTAAACATCGTAGCTAGTGACAATAATTTAGTAAATTTGTTGCATGAAAGTCATTTTCTTCGTGACGAAGAAAGAATCAGGAGAATTAACTATTTTTTGGGCTTGCCCATGTGCTGGATGTTTCTAACCGAAGGTGACGGAAATGGCGGTTAGACTGATGCTCAAGCTTGTGCAGTGAATTCTAACGCATGATGGGGGAGTGCTAGGTTTTACATGGTACCCCTATCGATGACATCAAGCGTTTAGACTTTAGCGACTCAATTGTCATTCATTTCGTCCAATCCTAGAAATGGTAGCAAGGTTGCCCACCAATTGGCTACTATAAGCTATGTAAAAATTCAGAATGAACCGAGTTTAAATTCAGAACGCAATAAATTAAAAAATAAAAGGTCATATTCACTAAAACAATCCACCACGTATCTCTCATTTATTCTTCATTAAGCTTATTACAACAATATTATATAATCAGGAAGCTCTTCTGGGCACATTCTTTTTATATACTCTTTCTTTTCTATCTTTTTTTTTTTTTTTGTTGCAACGATGCTGGCAATTACGACCCGATGAAACAATGAGATTTATATATTAAGAACCCAAAGGAAGAAGAAAAAAGGATAATAATTAAATAATAATTACTAAATTCTCTGTAGAATAATTAACATTATTCATTTAACTGCACTTTTGATCCAGGCAACAAATTTAAGACTGAATGAGTTGCAGAACATTGATGGGTGAAATGTCATTGGAGTCTCCATACAAGAGACGTCTTGCTATGATTACATTAGCAGCTTCAGAAGGATGGTAGGGATCCCAGAACACATACTTTGATCTCTCCCTGCAAACTTTGGACGGAGGACCGCACGGAATCAGACCCCCGAAGCGCCCCGCCACATGACAGCATGCAGAATTTGCATTCATAAAACCTGCATTTAACATAACCAAAAACACTCAGCACTGCATCGCTTTGATTCGTAAGAAAAAATTGTTATAAAAAATTAAATTTCTCATATGCCTTGTCGTTCTCACCAAATGATATGTAGTTCTGAGTAATGTCATTTACAATGCCATAAACATCTGCATAAACAAATTTGGACCCCTCAAGGTTGGCGTTAAGCTCCGTGAGAAGGCTCTTCAACTCGGGGTTGAACAATCGCGCTAACTGATTTGGTTTTTCGACACAGGAATCTCCTGCACCAAGATTTGTATCCCTCTCATAGGGTATGCACCCAATTGGTCCTACATTTGTCACAATTATCTTCCTTGCTCCCAAATTGTACAGTCTCTGCAAGGGTAACGCGTCTATCAACTAAACCTGTAATGGCGAATATTCATATGTACAAACTAAGGGAAAACGAAAGTAAATTTACTGTGAGTTGTAGTCTGTATCTTGAAATCATAATTCCCACAAATGTTTCCGGAGGTATCAATTTTTGCTCAGGAGCTGAGATCACCGGCGTCAAGTAGTTGTTAATGAAATCGTTCGAGCCCATTGTTACGGAGAAGAGAGCCTTGCTTAATAGCTGCAGAGCTGCAGGAAGGCCAATGCTGGAGATAATGTCTTGCCTGGTATTAGCAAAGAAATCTAGCTGTTCATCCAGGTTTAATCGACCTCCCTATCAAATTACACGAGGTTTTTACGTCACATCAAAGCAGTGTATGTACAAATAAATAAAAACTCCAAACGTAGAGTATATATCACAAGAAGCCTTACAAAAATCTTTCCTGTGTGATTAAGAATTCCACCTCCACCTGAAGCATAATTTACACCCTGCAGAACTTTCGGCCCGGCAGTTGCTGGAGACAAGTAAGGAGGACTGAAACCTTTGAAGCCAACTTGCTGACCTGTTAAAACTAAAATCAATAAAAAAGAATGAAGAAAACCAGAAACAAAATAAATTGAAAAATAGAGAACTTGCCTATGATGTCAATAATTGTTCTTCCATTTGTGTATCTTCCAGTTGGCTTTCCGAAATCGATTCCGTTAGGAAGATAGTTGGCCTTGGAGAGTGACACAAGGTAGTTGTTATTTCCTGCATCGACCAGAGAATCCCCAAACACAAAATTTGCAGGAACATATTTTGCCAAGCATATTCTCCAAAAAAACACAAAAATTGTTGAAATTTGGAAGAAAATGCCGAGCTTAGTGACTGTTCTATTTGATAGGCCACCCATTGCAAAGGATGTGAAGAAGGTTAATACAAAAGTTTCATACATGCAAATTGAAAATATATAATGAGACGAAATATGATTAGTTGCAGGCTTTAGAGTGCTTTGACCAGCTTTCAATATTAAGGCAAAAGCGTATCTCAAAATATCAAAATTCTAACTAACTAAAATGAAGACAAACTCATAAGGAAATCGTAGAAGTTTCACCATAAAATTATTTGATAACTCAACTCTTTATTAACATATATAAGATTTGATAAACTTCCGATGTGAGACATTTCTTCACATCCTCACATTTGATAAAATCCAAAATATGTCACACCATTTGCAATTTACAAAAGAAGATTTATTAAATCCACTTTTAAGTATGATAATAAAGATCATGAATAATGATGACTAAGGATTACGTAAGCTTTGCGTGAGTAAAACACAAAAGTAAAAGAAATTGTCAAGTTTGTTTGTAAGGAAATGCTATGATTAATCGCACGCGTGCACATGCTAATACATAAAGTTTGAACGGTCATGATCAACTTTGCGCACAACTGATCCTAATGAAAATATTTTTCTTCACTACTCTTAAATAATGGTGATATTCATATCCTATTTATTACTGTTAAATGCGTTTAAATTTTAAAAATTGTGTAGAGAATAGACATAAATCTCAAACTTCAAATGTATTCAATGATGATAAATAAAATGATGATCATTATCACCGGATTGTGACGTAAATGCACCTGATCCTAACACTCCTCTTGTTTGTAAACATTGATTGCCCTGCAAAATTAGCAGCAACCAAACGTGGTGACAATGCTGGTGTACAGTTTCAACGCCACAAGAAGTACATATTCAAGTGACTAAAGATCCACTTGCATATATCAGACCAAAAATATAAAAAAAAAAGTGGCCAAAGTTGGAACCCTAGTGTGAAGTCCCTGCACTAATTATTTTTCTCAACTACTCAAAGTCAGAATATTTCCTTTAGCTTCATACAAATTTGCAATGACTCAAAGTCTAAACCAAAGCTTTTATAGGAAGAGTAGTTTAGGCAATACCTATAAACCAGTCGGCATTTATAAGCTGCGTGACTGGCCGGTGCCTAATGTTGGAATTTTTTGGATCGCCGGGTCCGCCCCACTCTAACGACATTGATACTATTCCCAACTTAACTACCGTCAGGTGTAAGATTTTACCACAAAAGATCTCAATATTAGTTAGAGTGAGGTAATCATATTTAAACCTATTGGGTTTCTTTGAACCCACCGATGTGGGACTTTAACACTTCCCCTCATGGGTAACCTCATTTAGTGGTTCACACGTGGAGAGCTTGCACCGTGGGCTCTGATACCATGTTGGAATATTTTGGATCGCCAGGCCTGCCCCACTCTAACGACACCAATACTGTCCCCAACTTAACCATCTCCCAAATCCATCAGGTGTGAGATTTTACCACAAAAGGCTTCAGTATTAGTTAGAGTGAGTTAATCATATTTAAACCCATTTGGTTTCTTTGAACTCACCGATGTGGGACTTTAACACCTAATGGGCCCATGAGAGAGTTACCGGCAACGGGATACAAATGCCATAGAGATAAAAGATTGTCCTAGGTTCGATTTATGTAAATTGCTACTCTAATACATTCTATAATGGCTACTAGATATAAGAATTTCCTTTGACATGATGTTTCTGTATCAACCCGTGGGCTGATAATCTCTTTTGCAGTTCCTTGCCACTGTTTCCCTACATTCATAACCATGGCTCTCACTCTCAGGGATGGTCTTAAAACTGCCTTTGCAAAGGTATTATAAGAATATTTGTGTCGAAATAGAATCCAAATTGGTTGTCGAAAGAGAATCCAAATTGTTATTCTCTACATACTTGAAAGATGATGATTGAAGCTATTAGCTTTTTAGGAAGCTTGGATCCAGCATCCAAGTTTAATCTTATTTCTTGGCAACATGTTTTCTGGAAGCAAAATTTGAAAAAAAGCAAATTTTGTACTATAACCATGGGCATTATTTGTTATGTTTTTGATCATACATATTCTTATTGCAATAAATTTATAGCTCAAGTGGTTAAGAGTAGTAGCGGATGGAGGGTGAGTGCATTGGGTGTCGTTGACCCCAATAACTTGCTTTTCCACCAAGTTCTAAACAGCAAAAGAATTAAAGGAATCATGTTTCATTTTATATATTTCCAGGTAATTAGAAGTCTCCACCAAACCATTATGTGTTTAATTTGAGCATTTGATATTTATACAGTAAAAACGTGTAAATAGTTGTGTTGTGGCTAAA